ATTCCAGTGAACAGTTGGCATCTAAGTATTACAGACATTTACTTACCAGATATGTATTGTGAAGAGGTTTTATAAGAGCGGAAGAGATTTTAAGTAAAATTAAAAAGAAAAGATATTGTTGCTCACAGCTTAATTTTTTTTTTTCAGCCTCTTCGCTTGTTTGTGGATTTTAATCTTCTCTGGTTTCTTGAGGGTAAGATACCTTGTGTTCAAGGTTAAAAAATATTCTTTAATGTAAATCTTTTACTAACATCTAGTATAACTAAAAGGTTTTGGACAGTCCAATATAGCTTAATGAAAGAAAATTCCTAACCAGATCTATTACTGTTGTAGGTCATGCTGGTAATCTTTTAGCCATTTATTTCCAATTCAGTTTATTGTTGGATGCTCTTCTTGCTAATGTAAAAGTGATACGCATTGATTGACAAAATTTGTCAATCGAGATCCACTATTTGATTGAGAGAATGGAAAGGAGATTTGGGTTTTAAGTGTATTTTGTCTTTCTAATTTTTCTGCTATTAATATTCTGGAGACCAGAGCTTCCTCTCTCTTAGGTGGATGCACTTTTACTCAGGCAAAGAGACTGTGTGACTGGGGACTATATGAAATAAGAACATTGCAGTGTCATGGAAATACTCTGTCTGTGTGTACATAACAGTAAAAAGGCAGTGTGTATCCTTGTTTTAAGTGTGGCATATCATTGTGCAGGGATTTTAATATTAAAATGAGATTTACAAAATTGTTTTTCATGTTTCATTTGCCTCCAGCTGTTTTTCTATAGTGAGACAATAGAGTTGGTGTTTGCTGCTGCCGGAGCTCTTCTGTTCTGTGGATTTATTATTTATGACACTCATTTACTGATGCACAAATTATCCCCTGAAGAGTACATACTGGCTGCAATCAATCTCTACTTGGACATCATCAATCTGTTCTTACACCTGTTGCGTTTACTGGAGGCATTTAATAAAAAATAGTCAAAAGCGGTGTGATTTGACTATCGCATATATAAAGTTAGGCGTTTGGATGATCTGCAAACTGTGTAGCTCTGTCTTCTAGAGACTGAATCTTTATTACTTTTTCATTCCATGAATATTGATCCCTCCTTAGGAAGAAAAGAGGGGGTTTTTATGTAGCTCAAGTTCTTCTCTAGAATGTATATTTTATTTAGTTAACATGCTGTTGTCATTTCAGTCACTTTTTTAATTACTTAATTTGCACTTGGTAGAATTCACGATTAAAACATCTGCCAACTTCTGATTGCTCCAGAGTAAGCTTCTCTCTGCTATTCTGTAGCTGCTGGAAATGTTTCCTTTGGCATTATAAGTGTGCATGCCACATAAGGGTAGCCTGAGTTTATAACTGTGCAATGTTTTACTAAGCCAAATTGTTTCCTAGTTTTTGTTTGGTAAAATGGAATGCTGTCTCTGACAGAGATACTCTGTTCTTGTTGAGGACTCTCAGATTATTGTGTAAGCTGGGAGAGTATTAAAATAATTAAAGGGAATGTTCTTCATTTAAGTATTATTTATTGCCTGTCTTTCAGTGTTCTGAAAAATCATTTGGAGGTGGATTCTGGTGTTTTATCAACTTATGTATATTAAGGTTAATTATTTGCCAGTAAAAATGGGAAAACCTTTAGTCTGTTGTTGCAGCTGAGGCTGGAGAACTTCGGGATGCTGAGAGTGAACCCTGCAAACCCTTGGACAGGCGAGCACTTGCTGACAGGGGAGAGATGTTGAGACTTTCCAAGCTATTGAAATCCTGGAAGGGCAGGCAGGGTAAACACAGTTGTGAAAGGCTTTCTTACTTCTTGCTCAGTGTTGAAGTAGAAGTACTGTTACCGCTCGCCTGTCCCGTCAGCGACGGGTAAGCAAAAAGGCAGCGCGGTACGCGGGAAGGGTCCCGTGACGACGTATGCTCTCCATGCTGGAACTTGACTGAGGCTATTGAAGTACGACTGCGAATTGTTCTGAGCAAGTGTGATGATTTCTGCCTTCTGTCTTCGGGTTTCATGAAGAAATGTGTGGCAGTAGCTAAGAATAAAACTTCGCTTTTTTCCCTTGTGATGGAGCACGTGTTTATTTTTTTTTTTCATCCATCCCCACCACCCTCTACATGCAGCGGTGGTTGGACATTATTTCACACCTGCAGCACACAGCTGGTCCACGGCACAAGCACGAAGCAGGAAGGCGGCGGACCGAGTGACCGCCGGTGGCGGCCGGGAGCAGGAACGGCGGGTGCGCTCTCGTTCGGAGAGTTACGGTAGAACCTGCCGTACGGCCGGG